CTGAAATACTTTGATGGAAATCTAACAGAATATGCACGGTACTTGAATGACAAACACTGCCCAAAGAAGATCCACATCAATCTTTGCAAGCCACATATCTGACCACAGACTGATATCTCCATCATATGGAGATCTCTACAAACTCTGCACTAATGAAAGCAAACTACCCAAGTAAATATAAGCAAAAGTCAGTTCACCAAATAGGATATACAGATGGTATATAAACATATTGGAGAGATGATCAATATAATTCACCATTAGAAAAATGCAAATTAAAACCACAATCTGTATCAACATACACCTATTGGAATGGCTTAAAACAACAAGAAATAAGTAAATAAATTACCACCAACAAAGTTTGGTGAGGATGCAGAGAAACTGGATCATTCATACACTGATCATGGAAATATAATCTGGTAGAGGTGCTTTGAAAACACTTAGGCAGTTTCTTAAGTAACTAAACATACAACTACCACTAGATTGTAGTTCTGCATATTTATGCGGTAGAAATAAAGATGCTCAAGTTCACAGAAAAACTGTGCATAGATGTTTATAGTAGCTTCATTCACCACAACACTTCATTCAAAAGTATAGACAGCTAAGATGCCCTTCAATGGCTACTATAAGCTAAGAGGCCCTTCAATGGCTACTATACAAAATGTGATATACCCATGACAAGATTTATTATTCAGCATTAAAAAGAAACAAACTATTGATTCATACAATAACCTGGATTAATCTCTAGAAAATAATGTTGAGTGAAAAAAATCCAGTCCTATAAGATCACATACTAACTGATTCTATTTATATACCATTCTTGATATGATAAAATTATAGCAATGTAGAATATATTAGTGGTTGCCAGTAGTTAAGGAGGGGTGGGGACAAGATGAAGGGTAGAACTACAAAAGGGCCACATGAGGGCGCCTTGTGGTGATGAAAATGTTCTGCATCTTGACTATCAATGCAGTATCATGGTTGTGATAATGTACTATAGTTTTGCAAATAATCTAATTGGAAAATATGGGTAAAGAATATATGAGGGTCTTTATATAATTTATTTTTAAAATTGTTTAAAACCATGAAATATTTACTATCTTAACCATTTTAAGTGTACAATTCAATAGGGTTAACTATTTTCACATTGTTGTGCAACAGATCTGTAGAGTTTTTATATCTTACAAAACTGAAACAACTCCTCATTCCTCCCTCCCCAGCCTGTTTTTAAGAATGTGATACCTCATATAAGTGGAATCACACAGTATGTCTTTTTGTGAATGTCATTTTGCATAAGTTCACCCAGGTTCATCTATTTTGTAGCATGTGATTTATTTTTCCTTTTTCAAATTCGAATAATAGGCCATTGTATGTATACATCAAATTTTCTTTCTTTCTGTGCTGGGGATCAAAGGCACAGCCTCTGTTTGTGCTATACCTCTAAGCTACACCACATTTCCTTTATCCATTCATCCATCAACAGACACTTGGGTTGTTTTCACTTCCTGGCTATTGTGAATAATGATGCAATGAATGCAGATGAATAATTGTATCTTCAAAATCCTGGATTAAATATTTTTGGATATATACCCAGAAATAGGAATGCTACATCATATGATAATTCTATTTTTAATAGTCTGAGGAATCTACCTACTGTTGTCCATAATAGTTATGTCATTTTACATTCCTAGGGACAGTGCACAAGGATTCTAATTTCTCCACATCCTCACCAGCACTTTTTTTAATCATAGTAATTTTAATGAAGTAATAGCTTATGGTAGCTTTTATTTGTATTTCTCCAATGATTAGTGATGTTGAGTGCTTTTTCATATGATTGTTGGCCATTTGTATACATCTTTGTAGAAATGCCTATTTTTCATTGGGATATTTGTTGTTCTTATTGTTGAACTGTAGGAGTTCTTTATATAGTTTGGATATTAAACCCTTATGAGATATATGATTTGCAAATATTTCCCCATTCCACAGGCTACCTTTTCAAAGTATTGATTGTGTCCTTTGATATAGAGAGTTTTTAGAGGAAACTTTTGGAAGTGATGGATAGGTTTACATCATAAACTGTGGTATGGTTTCATGGTTGTACACCTATCTCCAAACTCATCAAGTTGTATACTTTAAATATGCACAGCTTTTGTATGTCAATCAACAATCAATAGCATGGATCAAAAAAGTACGCTTAAAAATAGAAAAAAAATACAATTAACAGTGTTAAGTGAAGATTAACTGGTCTAATCTCTCTAATAATGGAAACTTAGAAAAAGGAAAAATAAATATAAAAGATAGATTATCTTATTGGCAGTTTTATGCATCTCCAAGACATAACCTACATTTTGTATTACTGACAACAACTCTTGGAAAGAAGTTTTTGTGTTTTTTTTTTTCAGATTGGACTAAGAAATAATGTCACTAGACTGTGCAAAACAATCATGCTACTGTATTTATGAAGACCCGTTCTTAAACTTCTTAACATTTTAAAGTACTACTTTTTCAGTACTCAATGTGTACTATTTATAGTATGTAAAGTCTTATACTTGTAATGATCAAACTTAGTAAAGATTTGACCCTTTGTATAAAAACTTTATAACGATTGATCCTTTTCACAAAATTGAAAAATCCCACCAAACAAAATTTCTTACAACTTTATGACTAAACAGACACCATGAAGTGTCTATAACTCTAAATAGATATAGCTCTTCAAATGAGAAAAAAATCTCCACACATTTTCATTAGTCTCTGAGTAACAAGTGCTTGAAAAATTTCAGCATTTTTCCATGGAAACCATAGCTCTATAACCACAGTGACTGCAGAATTCACTCTTGTTATCTAACTTCCTGCCTTGCCTAAAACAGAGACCTCAAGAGCACTTAATATTCTGAGGAAAAAAGAGTGTAAGCCAATACCCTAAAGGAAGTCCAATTTTTTTTCATTTATTAATTTACTATCAAATACATATTTTACTGATGGATTTGAATTATACATAATAATATGAATCATTATGGCCATTATTTGTACATGCACATAACATAATTTGATAAATTTCATTCCTGTGTACTTTTCTTTTCTGTTCCCTTCACCCTCCCCCTCATCCACTAGCTCTACTGTATGAATTCCCCTTCTATTTCTATTATTATTATTATTATTATTATTTTAATTGGCACATTGTAATTATATATAAAACTTCATTCATTGTAATATATTTGTACATGCACAAAGTGTAATTTGTTCAATTTCATTCCCAGTACTTCCCATTCCCTCCCTTTCTCCCTCCCTATTGATTCCCTTCCTCAACTCTCCTGGTCTCCCCTCTATTTTCAGTAGATCATTCTTTTTACTCCTTTTCTTTCTTTCTTCCTCTCATCTCTACCCCTCCCACACCTAGCTTCCACATATGAGAAAAACATTTGACCCTTAACTTTCTGAGTCTGGCTTTATTTCAACCAGCTTGATGTTTTCCAGTTTCATCCACTTGCCAGCAATTAACATAAGTTAGTTCTTTATGGCTCAGTAAAACTCCATTGTGTATACATACCACATATATATGCCACTTTTTCTCAATGCATTCATCTGTTGAGAGGCACTTTTCCATTTCTGGCTATTGAGAATTGTGCTGCTATAAATATTGTTGTGGATGTATCCCTACAGTATGCTGATGTTAGATCTTGTGGATATATACCGAGGAGTGGGATAACTGTGTCATTTGGTGGCTCAACTCCTAGTCTTCTGAGTAACCTCCTTACCGATTTCCAGAGTGGTTGTACTAATTTGCAACCCTACCCCACATCCTTGCCAGCAATTACTATTTTGTATTCATGATGATTGCTATTCTGACTAGAGTGAGAAGAAATTTCAGGGTAGTTTCCATTTGTACTTCCTTGATTGCTAAAGATGTTGAACATTTTCTCATATATTTGTTGGCCATTTGTAGTTCTTCTCCGAAATGTCTGTTTAGGTCATTTGCCCATTTATTTATTGGGTTATTTGATTTCCATTGTTAAGGTTTTCTTAATTCTTTATATATTCTAGATATTGATCCCCTGGAGGAATAGTATCTGGCAAACACTTTCTCCCAATCTGTAGGCTCTCTCTTGACCCTCTTAATCTTTTCCTTTACTGTGTGGAAGCTTTTAATTTGATGCTATCCTACATAGTGAATATGGTTTTGTTTTATTTTTTTTTCTTGAGCTTTAGGACTCTTACTAAGGAAGTCAGTGCCTGGGCCAATCTGACAGAGGGTTGACCCTATGTTTTCTTCTGGCAATTGTAGTGTTTCTGTTCTAATTCCTTTGTCTTCAATCCACTTTGAGTTGGCTTTTGTGAAGAGTGAGAGATAGGGATCTAGTTTCATTCTTGTACATGTGAATATCCAGTTTTCCAGCACTATTGTTAAAAATATCTAGCACTATTGTTAAAAAAGCTATGTTTTCTCCAACATATGCTGTTGGTACCTTTCTTTTTGAGTATCAAATGACTATCTATGTGGATTTGTCCTGTGTCTTCTATTGTATTACATTGGCCTTTATTTCGGTTTTGATGCCAGACCATGCTGTTTTTATTACTATAGCTCTGTAGTATAATTTGAGATCAGGTATTATGATGCATCCAGCACCATTTTCTTACTCAGGAATTGAAAACCCTATTTTCTGAAGAAAATTCTTAGAAGGTCAATCACAATTATTTTTTGGCCCAAGCCAGTTTACAAAAAAGGCCAGGTACATTTTAAAAATGAAGAGGAGGATTTCATTGGGGCTTGCTACCTCAAGAACAGCATAATAATCACACAGCAGAGGTCAGGTATCTATTCTATTTGATGTACAATCAATAAAAAGAAAAAAAATCCAGAAAATATGCAAATTCTATCCTTTCAAATCAATTTTTATACTTTTATTTATTCTGATATCAAGTATTATTTGGTTAATTTGAAATACTTAATTCATATCTACTTTTTGCTGTATTTTAAAGATGATTAAATGACATATTTTACTTACCTAAAAGAGGAAGTAAAACTGGGTAGTTGTAAGGCATCACAAAGAGGTTCACACAAGTTAAAGTTGTACTAGCTTTTAAATAACCAAATGGATATCCAAGTTCATTGTATTTTCCACTACTAGTAACAAATACCTGAAAAGAACATGAATTAATGTACAGTTAATACAATAATAATTTTATGTAAAGCCAAACTCATAGGAACATTTCATAGCAACATCTGTGGCACAGTTTAATTCAAGCTTAAAAATAGTATAGTGCTTTTAGCCTATGGTTAAGTCATAATATATGACACTAAATATGAATGTTGAGATTATAATTTTTCCATATATTACATTAAGAAATTAAACAATGGGCAGGGGTTGTAGCTCAGCAGTAGAGTGCTCGCTTTGCATGTGTGAGGCCCTAGGTTCAATCCTTAGGACCACATAAAAAAATAAATAAAAATAAAAATATCATGTCCATCTACAACTAAAAAAAATTTTTAAAAAATAAAAAGAAAAAAATGAAACAAAACTATGCAATAACCATTCAGAGACCACAGGCCACATCAACAATGTACAAATATTTACTTGATTAGTACAATGGAAAAATAAGGCTGAAATACCATTAAATGATAACAGACATTAAAACAAATTAACTGCTCAAAAGAACAAGTAGTGATTAGGGTAGACTTCTAGGAAAATGGAACATGGTTCCATGCCTAAAGCAGCAATTACAAAAACAAAGCCCATTTAAAAGATGTGTGAACAGTCCTCATATATACTACTATTAACTTGCTCTATTTCTCTTCACTGTCCCATTCCACTACCCAGGTATTCATTTTTCACTTGATAAACATTTTTTTAGTAACCTATTATAAGGCAGGCACTGTTGCAGATAATTATAAGGCAGCAAGGAGATGCTTTGATTCAATCTGGAAGGCATTTTTCTCCTCTAAGGTACACTGCTAGAGCAAACATTCAATAAAGATTAAAACATTAATCTTATCCCACATGACTATCTTCTTATTCCTTATTGATATCTTTGGGATATATATTATCATCCCCTGTACACTTCATTGTGCTGTGCCAGAGTCCTCTAGCTACTATGCTTTCTGTGTTCCGTGTTCATATTCTTTGGTCCAAATCAGGACACCAGTATATACTTGTAGAGATACCACGTTTTTTTCCCCAAAGTCTTTTGGCAGGATCACTTAAGACAAAGTCAAAACCTGATGTTAGTAACATCTATTTATCTTGCTAGCTCTTGGTACCAGCAATATCACCTACCTAAGAATTCACTAAATTCTTGTTTTATTTAGTAATTACGAAGAACATATCTTTTTCCATGTGACTTAAAGCTCCACAAAGCATGAGCTGTGCTAAATCACAATTCAAGATTTTGTGTTATGTTTTGAACTTCAATATAAATGTACAACTGTAATTAACCATGCTAGATTTTATTCCCTGTGTGTGTACATTAGAAGAAGGGGAAAATTCATCATGAAAGATAAAAAAAAAATTTATATACATATAGCAGTCAGGGGCCAGACCAGTGATTACCATGAAAGGAAAAGCACTGTTTTGGGTTTTATTTCTCTTCTACCCTTACTTTCTCCATCCCTTTCTTTGCTTTGTATAAAACCCTTAACTTTTTCTAAATTTATTATCACTCACAAATTTAGATTGCTAGAAGAAAACAGGGTCTTTAGAGGCTATCTAGTTCAGAGAAAGTAAGTACCCAGTACAAGGCCACATAGTTGGTGGCAGAGCTAGGGTTAGAATCCACTCTCACGATGGTTTTGCCAAACCTTCTGGCTCCTGATTTATTTTATTCTTTTTCACTCCTAATAATTCATCACATTAAAAATACTCTAAAACAAAGTAACATAACATCAGGATAAAGGACTATGGTATATTTGAGGGTCTGTGCAGTAATGAATACTGGATTTCTTAAGTTTCATGGGAGAAGGTGTACAAGGAATGTACTATATAGAAAAAATGTTTTATTTTAAGGGAAAAGTGTCATTTGTAACTTTATTTGCATTTGTTGTAAAAATGCTTTACAACCTTTGAATTCAAGCTTCTCATATTTATTTTAAGCAATCTATTATCCATATCTCTACCTTTCTAACATTTTGGGGGATAAATTATAAGTGTATGATTAAATGAATGTTTACAAAGTGGATGTATATATGCAAACAGCACCCAGGTAAAGAAACAGAACACAGGGGCTGGGGATGTGGCTCAAGCGGTAGCGCGCTCGCCTGGCATGCGTGCGGCCCAGGTTCGATCCTCAGCACCACAAACCAACAAAGATGTTGTGTCCGCCGAGAACTAATAAATAAATATTAAGAATTCTCTCTCTCTCTCACTCTGTCTCCTCTCTCTCTAAAAAAAAAAATAAAGAAACAGAACACAACTAGAAACATCCTCCTGTCCTTTTCCAGTTACTACCCTGCTGCCCCAACAAGAACCACTATCCTGACTTATAACAGAGTAAGGCAACTTTAACCCTTTTGAATATTAAGTGGAATTATATAATAATATGTAATAATTTTTGTCTGGCTTCTTTTGCTCAATATTATGTTTCTGATATTGTTCTGTTTCTTGAACTCTTAAATCTTTGCTTCGACCCTGTTCCCTTTTTTGCTGTTTTAAGCATCTTGGTGAATTCAATAAGCTTACAGACAGAGAACTAGTAACAATAATGTCATATTTTAGGATGAAACAGATGGAAATCTGAAAATGCTCTTGCACCAACAGAACTTAAAAATCAGTGATTATAAATGGCTCTGTAGTTTAGAAATAGAACAAACATCTTTACGGTGCAGAATTTTTGTTGAATACAAATAAAAAGACTATGTGACTACTATGTCCAGATTTTTACAAATCAAACTCCACAGGTGACTATTAACCAATCAGCAAGTCTTTCCAACTGAACCATAATACTCAGAAGAGCCAGAGTATGATATCTGTCTCATCCACACAAAATCCCAAAACATACAGAGTGTGGTTTGTATTATAAGAAGAGTCTATTATATTATACTAATATAGAAGTTAGTTTCAGATCTTATGGTTTTCTGCCCCAAAAATCCTGCACTTCTAATCTTTCAAGTTCAAACCAAGAGCTGAAAACCCCATTTCAACTGCAGAGGCCATACCATAATAGAATTACAACCTTTAAATTAGGGGTTTTTAACCTGGGGTTCATGGATAAACTTTAGGGCCCCCTGAAGTTTTCAAATATATAGATTTCATCAGATTATATGGCCTTAAATGGCAATGTACATAAGGCTAATGATTCATATCAGTCTAAAATTATTGGGTTGGTTCTATTGCCTATTTGTTAGCCTTTCAGAGAAAAAAAAACTTAGTCTAATATTTCCAGATTAACCTTTGAAACTTCTTAAGACAATTCCCATATCTCAAAGTGGTTAAAGACATTAGGCTAATTGACAAGGATAAATACCTGCCAGCAGGTATGGGGAGATTTTCGTTCCAAGATGTACTGAGTCAAGGGAGAGGGTTCAAGTTCATATTTGTCGAAGGGCAGTTTGTCTATTACCATTGGCTCACAGTCTATACAGGAGAACCTCACAACAGGATGAGATGTTCGTGGAGGCTTAAAAAATTTAAAAATAAGAAGAAAACATGATCAGATATCAAGCAAGCTTACATTTCTGACAATTCTTCAAGCCCTTTTATATTCTATTACCCATCACTGAAATATAGACTAGTGTTTTGAGAAAACACTACATGTGGACATGAGCAAAAAGCTACAAGATCTGTAGGAATCATCAGAGGCTTCTACAGCGGGAGGGGACTCAGATTCTTTATCTCTACCACCTACTTAGCACTGGGAAGAAGAAAGGTATATTACAACACTCATAACTAGAATTTTAGTGAAGTAAAAACCCAGCTTTAAGTATGTTTAAGCCATTATGATCCATAGGATAAACCCTTAATTACATTTACAACCTCTAAGCATTGCTTGCTCTTCTTCATTTCTTTGTGTCATGAGGTTAGATAATCCAGATACCACCAGGGAAGAAAAAAATCTATGAAACTTTCTAATGAGGTAATTAAGAGCAAAGCTACAGCCAATTATAAGCAAAATGCAAAACAGCAAAGATACGAGAAAGAGCAAGATAACGACCAAAAAGGAGCCAGTTGCAACTAGAGGGTCCAGGTGGAGTTCTGTAGTACTGCTCATGTCCACATACTTGCCTCAAATAGCTAGAGCTGTGTATGATTTTGGCAGGGTTGCAAAGGCCTGTGTGACTGGGGTAGCCCAGCAGGTTTAATGGAGAAGTCATGATATTTTGGTTTAACTTGTATGACTAGAAAGCACCAGAGAGAGAAAAGGGGACAGCAAGGGCAGAGAGATCTGGAAGGTTAACATAAATACAATAAAATACTAATGCCCTTTATAAAAAGGAAAAATACATTCATTTGCTCCTGTCATTTACAAACCTACAAGATGTTTGAGGGTTAAGAAAAATAGCCCTCAAATGAGTTTTAAATTAAATTTAATGATTTTGGTAGTGGGAATTGAACCCAGTGGTGCTCTATAACTGGGCTATATCCATAATCCTTTTTATTTGTTGAAACAGGGTCTCACTAAGTTGCTGAGGCTGGCTTCAAACTTGTTATCTTCTTTCTTCATCCTCCCTCACAAGTCACTTATATTAAGGAAGTGAGTCACCACTCCCAGCTCCAATGAGCTTTTAAAGATAGAAGAATGGAAACACAATTTAACTGCAGATTATTTGGAAGTTCTTTTATTCTAGATTTTCCTGAGTTCAGTTTCAATTCATCTTATGAAACATTTGAGTTCCTAGATTTGTAAAAGGGCAATAAAGATATGAGTGAAGCCCTATCATTAGCAACTATGAGTAAATTTGCCACTAAAAGATTCACTTGGGTGTTTGAAGTAGCTGAGATTTAACACATGTGCCTCCTTGGAGCACCAGGGTGAGGAGGGAGACACTTACTCTCACTCAGAGCAAGGACCAAAGAGCTCTTTAGTTTTACAAGCAAACCTTCCATGGATACTCTTGCAAAGAAATGCAGGGGCTTCAAAATAGTAATCTAGGAGAAAATGCAGTTTTCTGGGAATTTCTAGAATTTATAATACAGATAAGCTGAACAAGGAAGGTGTTAAACTAGAGTAACAGTATATTTGTGTCCCCCCATCCACTCCTCAGCCCAAACAAGAGTTATTACTCAGGCTTTCTTACACTGGGGGCTGGGGAGAGAGTATGCTTCACAGTCTTCCTCATTATAGACCATCCACTTGGTACTAGGAATAATAATAGTATCAAGCCCTATTATACCAATTGAAGTGATCAAAAAGACAAGTCTTAAACATCATTTAAAAATATTAATTATTCATCACTTAAAAGTGCACTGCTGGGGTTGGGGATGTGGCTCAAGTGGTAGCGCGCTCGCCTGGCATGCGTGCGACCCGGGTTCGATCCTCAGCACCACATACCAACAAAGATGTTGTGTCCGCCGAGAACTGAAAACTAAATATTAAAAAAAAATTTAAAAAAAAGTGCACTGCTACAGAACAGAAGATCATTGATTTAAAAAGATTCTGGCACTGAAAAAATAAAAAAAGATGAAAGTAGGGATTAAGGACTCCTTTAGTAGAACTTTGAAGATACTTTGAACATGCTTCTAGAACCTATATAAGGTGTAAACTAGGTTCAAATTTCCTGAGGCTATGTGTGCAAATCAACACCAGTATTGTTTAGACATTGTAATTACATGTAAATCAAGTCAGCCCCTCTAAAATGAAAACCAAGTCACAGATTTTGACAATATTAAAAACAATAATGCTTTAACATCCAAAGAGGGCAGTTTAAGCAGCAAAGGCAAATGAAAGAATGAAAAGTGCCAGAAAATAAAGGAAGCCCTTCTCTCTTGCTTTTAGGCACAAGTTACACATTCAGGAAGAGACAGAAGGCAAAGGAGAAAAGGTCCATTTGGGGGCTAGGGTTGTGGTTCAGTGGCAGAGTGATTGCCTTGCACATGTGAGGCACTGGGTTCAATCCTCAGCACCACATAAAAATAAATTAAAAAATAAAGATATTAAAAAATAGATCGATTTGCTTGTGGTACATCTAAAAAGCCTCAAAGTTATTTTTTAAAAGTTCACTGTAATCAGCAAAGTGAAAAATCCAGAATGATGTTTACCTTTTTGTTTATGATACTTACTAGTGAAGGTAAATTCTGATCTGGCCAAAAAGATTCTGGAATTGGCCAATGTCCAACAGGAACACCGGTTTTAGAGTTAGGTCGTACATAAATGAGTTTATGACAACTATGCCATGGTTGAGCAGCAAATGAATTGCTTGGCCTAAATGAATCCATAAGTCCATCTAAAAATTAAACAAAAGATAGATGGAGGCATGAATTTATTTTCATAGTTACTGATCGTCTTGTACAAATTTTCCAGCTAAAAGCAATGAACAAAGCAAAACAAAAAGCAATTCATGAAAAATGGAAGAAAAGGCAATATTACTAAGATTTCCAAATGTCCTCTCTAGCAACTCTTCCTCTAATCCATCCCCTCTAGTTCAACACCTCCCACTATCCTTCAACCATTATGAGAATATATAGATGTGTGGAAAAAATATTATAAAATCAGTTTTAAATTTTATGAGACTTGGACACATAAATTAAACATACCAAAACAGTACAGTTGTTTTTCAAGAAGTCAATTACTAAATTAAGCAAATGAAATCATTTGTTTCCCAGCAGAGTTTTTATATTTTTGGAATGTGATAAAATAGATCATAAATTCCATTTATATACTCTTTCTATGCTAATTAGATGAAAAAAGTATTCTTTACGGAAAAGTTAGAGCTAATGTCCACATAGCAAAATAAAATCTATCCAAATTCACTTGAAGGTAGAAGACATGCTGAAGATACCATCTATGTGTGTCATTAGGAGTGATAAACAAAAAGTAAATGTATCAAAGTTATTTTGGGTTAATTCACTATTGTTTTCCCACTCACCATTAAAATTCCATGGAAACTGAGCATTGTATGACACTGAGTAACATGCATGTCCTGGATGAATTTTAATTATTTAAACTAGCCTATTTCATTTGCCCCCACCCAGTAGGTGGAGTGACATAACCTTTTATCCTATGATTCATTAGTCTAAATTATATTTTTAAAAAATATTTTTAATGATTTAAGTCTCATTTTTCTTAAATTACATCCATTTGATTTTCTTATTTCAGCATTACTTTAACAAGTAATTACTTCAGATCAGATTTTCTGATTTTCTGGGGTCCCTTGTTTATGAGCTGTCATTTTTTTGTAGGGAAAAGATTCCATATTTTCCAACATCTTCTCAAAAGGATCCAAGAACTAAAGAGAAAAAAAAGTCAAGAACCACAGAATGGACTACTTCAGATAGAAAGGTGTAACTTCCTGTTCTATCCCTTTAGCCTTGGCCAAGGCAATTAAAATGTATGGATCAGATCAGATAAGCACCATGGTTAACAATGGAACCTATATATGCATATGTATATATGTGTTTGAACTGACACATGAGGAAAAATAATAACCTAGATCAGAAGTCTGAGGAAGTCCTACAATTACTATAGTATGGTTTAGTTCCCTGGTCCCTTTGAAATCCACACATATTCAATAGTTACAAACATCCATTCACAAAGCATCTAAAGAATGACTTTGGCCAACTTCCCCCATGCAAAAGTAGCTTTACTTTTATCTATTTCTAGATGTCAAAACTTTTTATAAAATCTCATTTGAAAAGGTTCTGCAGTTAAAAAGTGATAAGGAAAATACCAGCATAGGACCTTATGGAATATTATAAGTTCCTAGATAAATATTCACAATCTCTTGTTTCAGTGAGGTTAACTAACAAATTTCATAAAGACAGGCACCTTTAAATATAGTGCTCACAATCCCCCAAACAGACTGCTACTGAAGTACCATACCATAGTGAATATCCAGATATTTTGGGAATAGAGAGGTAAATGAATTAGTGTCATCTCCACAGTGGGACCAGGGAATATAAAAGAGGTCAGGAAAAGGAGGAATTTTCTTAGAAACATTCATGTGAAAAATTAAGGTTATTAGAATTTGGCTACCTGATATGCATACATAGGCAATTATTTGAAGGATATTGTAACTATTCAAATGTATATGGATAATAAAAGCTATCTCTATTACCAATTGCTTAATATCTTCTGAATCTCAAGTCATTCTCCTATGAAACACTTAAGGGTTAAAAATAAGTTGATTTACCTTACCTTCTCCAACAGGAAGTGGATCTGGTCCCGTCTTTTCAAAATTAATAACTACACCACTCTGAACTTTTTGAACTAGAGATTCTAAACACTGATTCAACATTCTTTGTGTCCTAACACAGTAGGAGCGACCTATATCAGAGAGAAAAACAAAGTGCACAAGTTTGATAAAACAAAATACTATTTCATGGGCTGGGGTTGTGGCTCAGTGGTGGAATACTTCCTAGCATGTGTGAGGCACTGGGTTTGATCCTCAGTGCCACATATAAACAAATAAAAAATAAAGGTCCATCGACAACTAAAAAAATATTTTTTTAAAATACTACTTCATAATACAAACATTTGAAATCCTAAAATAAAGCTTGGAATGATCATAACTACATTGACTGCAAATATAATACAATGAGCTTAAGTAGTAGAGTTAAAAGGTTTTGAAGGAAAACAAGCCAAGTCTATATATGGCACTTAATAAAACTATACTCTGCTGCCCTAATTTCTTCCTTCAGAAATAGAAAATATTGCCAATACCTCCTGTGACTTCACACATCTGTGTGATGGCTGATTCATCTGTGGGTACACTCCCTAGTTGCTCTGGTTCAGTAGAAGCCACTCCAGGCAAACGTAACACCAGGGCAAATAACCTTTGATCCCAACGAAAAGGTTCTTTGGTTAGTTCACTTCCAGGCAGAGGAGAATTTAAAGGAAGATGAAGCTATAAGGCAAAATTTGAAAAGGTTCATCATAACAACCCATATAAAAATAAGGAAAGAGTTAAAAGGTTCACTTTTCTTTCATGGGACTCAATAAAATTAAGCAATCTCTCAAGGATTACCAAGACAGGAGGTTTGTCCAAACTTGATTCTTAACTGGAAATACATGCCTCCCACACAAATAGCTGCATGTTCTCTGCCATGTAAGTGAAATGTAAAAAAAAAAATTAAATCTCACCTCATCTTGAACGCTAGCAGTACTTGTTAACTTGTTTCCATCTGTGATGGTAATTAAAATAGATGGTTCTAAAAAAAATGGATTTCTTCCCTAAAATACAGTTAAAAAGCATTAGAGCTATATAAAGTAATAAAATTGTATTTCAAGTTTTACATTTGCCCTGCCAATGACCTCTCAAATAAATGATAAAATCTGCTTGGATAAATAAGAAGAAAAGATTAGAGACCAAAATATGTGAGAATCAAAATAACAATACCTCCTGTGGAGAGGTAATACTTGTATAAACTGAGAAATTCTTACAATTCAGAAACTCCCTAATCCCTAACATTCAAAATACTTTTTTTCTCTCACTTCTTTTCAAGTAATCACAAAATAATGATATTAAAGGGATCATAATGGCAGTATCATCTATATTCATTAATCAATTCACCTGAGTCAAAATCTTGGTACAGATTCACTCTGCAACCTTAAGAGTGACTCTGGAGACTATGGGCATTTTTTAGAGTAGAAAAGGACAATGGTAGAAGCAACAAATGCTTTTCAGCCTTCCTCTTATTCTAGAGCTTTTTCATCAGACTGGGAGGAGCAAGGCGGATTAAGGACAGAGTTTCTCTCCAACTGTCTTGTTCCAATATTTCTCAGCAATTTATTCATTCCATTCTCTGATGATCTGATGGTAGGTGATTTTAACTATTTTGTCATCAAACAATATACAAGAGCCAAACAAGAGGATTTCTTTTTGCAAAGTACATTCTTAAAAGGCATGTGAACCTCTTTTTTGGAGGATGTGAAAAGTAACAGAAATCTTGGTAACCATGCCCAAGTTTGAATTCTTACCCCAAGTCATCAAAATAAATTAGCTGTACTCACTCAAATTTTTTTTACCTGTCCATAATTGTCTATTCCAGATATTAATCTATTGAGATTTAACAAATCAAATGAGGATCTTAGAGCCTGACCAAGAGTAGTCAGTCCAGAAGCCTGAAGATTTTTTAGTTCGCTCATGAATGTTGCGTGATTTTCCTTCCAACCAGCCTGAAAACCAAACATTTACAAAGAAATTCCTGATTATACAATGAACAATATAAAAAGTATGAACAAGAACTAAACAGCAAGTATCCAGCCTCTGTCTGGGAAATTAATCACTCCTTAACCTAATTCTATTTTATATTTTGCCTGCTTGAGTTGAACTAAAGTAAGCAGTTTGAGAAAGATCTGCTAACTTTAATGATCAACAGCAAAAATCTCAAGCAAATATATTCAGTTACTAGGGCAGGAGAGCTTTGACTCAAGAAGTCTGTTTTTGTATTTAGGCTCAACCAAACTGACCAAGACACTTCTGTTATCTTATCTTGACACTGAAGAACACAGAGCAGTTAAATTCTCAATAGAGACAAATGGTTAGCTACTAAGTGTCTGATCTTCATGAATTTTGCTAGTCAGGATTCTTCCTCCCAAGCAAATTACTTTGACTTTTCAATCAGAGTAAAGGGAATTATAATAGAGCCAACACTTCTTGGGAGATAACCCTTCTAGTCTCTCAAGCATTCAGAAATCACCAACTCTAGAATAAGGGGAAAAAGAAAAGAAACAAAAAGTTTTGGCAAAGGAACAGCATTCTCTAGGCACCCCATGAACAGTAGCAAAGAACCAATGACCTCAGGTAAACAGTCAACAGGATTTCATTGACTGGTTCGTAGAACAAAAGGAAGGAAAGGATGGTGCTGACTGGTCAGGGATGGATATAAAAACAAATCGGTACAAAATGTCAAGAAGCCAAAAGAAATAGACCAATAGAAACAGATGCAACTATGAGTAAGTCCCAGGAGTGGAGCAGCAAGGATGACAGCCAATAGCACATCTTGGCAACATGGTGGACCTGAGCATGGTAGTCCTAAAGATAGCAGGGTGATATCCTGAATGCTACAATTATGCCAAGCAGGCCAGTATAGCTGGAGGTAGAAAGCAAGAGCAAATAATACTGAGATGAATTAAATTATTTGGATTTCATATTCAATTGTCCATTATTCATATAACTACAGTACTCTTTTCCAATTTCATGGTCTCTCATAGCACTAGGAAGTATGGAGGCAATATGAAGGCTGAAAGAAAAGATGATGAGAGTGAGAGAATAAGCCTGAAAATCATGAGACTCAAGGGGTGGAGGGGACTACCCAAGGGAAGAGAAGAGAGTTCACAAAAGGGTAGGACTTACTGGAGAACCAGGAGTAACCTGATTATCATTTTTCTGGGTACATGGCAGGAGGCACAACAGATCCAATAATTTGGGCTCTGACTTACAGTGATTTTTATACCATGTTTAATAGTTTAGATTTTCTGTGTCAGCCCTGGGAAGAGCTTGGTGTTTTTAATTAGGGGAGTGGCATGATCAGATCTGCATTCTAGCCAGATAATTCTGTTGCGAGTTGGAGGCTAAATTGCGGGGTGGAGAGGAGGCTGAAGCTTAGGGCTGGGAAACTGGTTTAGAGACTGTTGCAATAGGGTATGAAAAGAGTAATGAAAGCCTGTCTAGGGCAGTGAGGACAGAGAAGAGGTTGCAGATTAAAGAAGGATTTCAAGAGGTGGAGTTGTAAGGATTAGGCAGCTAATTACAGGGATAGGTGAGGGAGAAAGGGTTATACATTAGGTTAGTGTTTCTGGCTTGGGCAAACTTAGGAATGGTAGAGTTCTTTACCAAGAAGCTGCCTTATAAAGTTAACTATTTGAGATGTTACTTCATTTAGCAATCTTCCTTCCACACTGTAATCTTATGGCAATATCTATATTAAGCGTTGAATTCCTAAAGGACCATGTGACAGTTCAGGGTATGTCTAAAGAAAAATGACTGGACTATTTGGCTTGACAAAGCCCTAGGATAAGATTTGGGTGTCACTTTATAACTCATCAATATTTTCTTTTAAAATGTCCTAATTCTTCTTATTCAATCTGTCAGAGTAATTACTATTTAAATATTCTTTTGTACTATGATTTTAAAGCATTTTTACATTTTCTGCCATCTGAAACTCTGACATTCTGTTTTTAGGTCAATTCTGATCCTTTGCAATAAACTGGACAATAAGAGCAAATTGTAATCCTCCTACCTCACTACTAAAAAGTGTGTACACTGCATTACCAAAGACAATGAATTTCTTGCTAACAGTCCCCCTCCCATTTCAAGAGAAAAACGAAATGCTCCTATATCCATTTTTCAAAATGCCAAAGGAAAAACAATAAAAGAACCACAGATTAAAATATTTAGAGAACTTTAATAATGTGACAAATCTCTTTATAATAGTCTATTATATAGAGATAGCAAGAGAAAGTGGTGTTATAGTCTCTATTCATTGCTTGAAGTGAAGTTTTTCAGAAATGAATTTAGGACAGCTAATTTGCCATGTTTTTGTTTGTGTTTTATGCTTGGAATTTGAACCCAAGGCCTCTCGCAAGCTAAGCAAATGCTGAATGAGCTATATTCCCCAGACCCTAATTTGCCATCTTAATATGGTCTTTCTTTCAAATTACTTTATTTCAAAGATATCTTCCTCTCAGGATGGTGAAATTTGTACATTCTTGCAAAATTGTAGCTTACAAAGCACCTTCACACTTTACAGTGGTTTAGGACAACCTATACAACAGCACATTACAAACTCTATTTTTTAAAATGAGGAAGAAAGGAGACTTAGGTATATCTTATTTGTGGGAGTGACAGTGGTGACAAGTCACATTTTGGAACTATAGTATCTGATTCAGAAGCCCTCAGCCACAAGTAGCCAAGGAACACTTCAAATATGACTAGTCTAAATCAAGATTTGATGTAGGTATAGAATACATGTGTGTGTGTGAGTGTGTGTGTGTGTGTGTGTGTGTGTGTGTGTGTGTATGTTTGTGTTACTGGTGATTTAACCTAGGGTCTCATGCAGGCCAGGCAAGCATTCTACCACAAGCTATATTGCTAGACCTAAACATGGGATTTTGAGAATGTAGATCCCCAAAATGTAAAATATCTCATTATTCCTTTTTATATTGCCTGTTAAAATGATACTACTTTGGATATTTTAAGTTACATATATTAATAGAAAGAAGTTTCATGTTTTCTTTTTACTTTTTAATGTGACAACTAGAATACTTTGTGTTGATGGCTGCCATTATATTCCTATTGGACACTGGTTTTTTAGAAGGACTGAAGACAGGCAGAAGAGCTTGGCATTGAGGCAGCAGACAATGGATTCATTACAGGTTCCAAGGCAGGGCAAATAGAATAAAAGCAGGGTCTCAGGGAGATCAGTCTGGTTCTAATGTAGAAGACAGACTGAGGAAGAAGAAACTAGTCAGAAAAAGAAGTGAGGAGATTTAAATAGTAATCCAGGCCTGTGGGAATCAGGGTGTGACTTAGGATGAGAATAGAGAAGGAGTTAATTGAGAAACATTTGAAACAACAAGATAGGATTTAGTGACAGAGCAGGTACCATAATGTGGGGTGAGAGGAAAAAAAGATGATTATAAAGTTTCTATCCTGAGAGACATAAATAAGGGAGGTTTAGGACAAAGGAGGATTTGGCATGGGTAGAATCCTACGTTAAGGATTTATTGTCTTTGCAAATCAAGTTTTAAAAGTCTCTCAGAGGTAAATGAAAATGGTGATGAATGATGACAGATTATATTTATAAGTGCCTACATGCTAGGAACTCACTTATGCCAAGCACAGTATCTTTTTTAAAAATTAATTAATTTATTTATTTTTTAGTTTCGGCGGACACAACATCTTTGTTTGTATGTGGTGCTGAGGATTGAACCCGGGCCGCACACATGCCAGGTGAGCGTGCTACCGCTTGAGCCACATCCCCAGCCCCAAGCACAGTATCTTATATAAACCCTTCTCATCTGAGTCTCCTTACCACCCTCCAGGTGGGTGCTATTATGATATCCATTTTATAGATGAGGATATTGAGTTTCAGCAAGGTGAAGGAACTTGTACAGGTCAGACAACTACAATTGGTGCAGCCAGAATTTGATCCCAGGTAGCCTAAACTCTGAGCCACCTTCCCCCTATTTAAACCACTATATTACACACTCACATATTTCATATAGAACTATTTGCCTAACAGTTCTTAAGCTTAATGGATTTTCCAAATTTCATTTAATTTAAGCCTACTTTCCCTGATGACTAAATACAGAACAATTGGGTGTAGGGAAGACATTAAGTTTGGAATTAGAAGACCCTGGTCTATTCCGGGCTGTCACTAGCTTGACAAGTTGAGTGGTCCATAGTAATTCACTTAGCCCTCTGGGCTTCTGTTTTCTCATTCAAAGAACAAAAGGGCTAAAAACAAACAAACAAAAAAAACACCCTATTCTAAACTCTCTTCCAGTTTTCATATCCTGTAATTTGATACCTCAAAGCAATCCTTTATATAAATTGGACTTATGTGTCCTATTATTCTACACCTTATAATAGCCCTTTAAATAAATCAGAAATAAAACACCTCCTGCTTTAGAAAATAGTAGTGCAGACCTGGTTTAAATTTGCATAGTCAACTAAAAATGACCTTCCATACTAAAAAAGCATGGGCCTTTCAGTCTATTGATGGCCCGGGTCTGGTCTCAGCTCTATCTGGCTAGCCACTAGCTATTTATTCCTCACCCATATCACCATGGAACAGAGAAAATTTGCACTTTTTGCTCAGAAAGGCAAAAATCAAAAGAAATTCTTTCCTACTACCATCTTGCAGCCTTGTTTCCATTTTCTAACCTGACTGCTGGGTTTGGGATCAGGAAACCAGGATGTTCTCTCTAGGCCTGTTGCTAAAGCTCTTTCTCATTTTCTGTATATTCTCTGACATGTATATGTGTGTGTGTGTGTGTGTGTGTGTGTGTGTGTGTGTGTGTGTATATATATATATATATATATATACATATATTGTCAATAGACCTTCCTTCCTTCCTTTCTTCTTCCTTTCCTTCCTTCCTTCCTTCTTTCCACTGAGAATGAAACCCAGTGCCTCACACACATGCTTGGCAACTGCTCTATCACTGAA